CTTGCGGCGGAATTATGTGTGGTTTCTGAAGTTCACTAATAGCACTATCAATACTATCATTCTCATAGCATGAATTATCATGAATACGTACCTCTATAGACATGAGCATGGAGTGTATCTATTACATTTATAATGTAACTTAATTTTGTGATAGATAACATGCAGTATTCAGGATTAGCCTCAAAGGAATAGGAATGTTCTGTACCTTAAACTTTACGAAACATCTGACGTCTATACGATTTAAAATGCAACTGACACCCCCCCCAATTGACCCCTCCCCCCCCGCACACCCCTTTTCTTTTCTTTTTTTTTTTTGTGTGTGCCCTTTAATGCATGATTTCATGCTGCAACAAAATGAAAATGTCGGTGCTAAAAATTGCTACGCTAAACCCCCCCCCCACACACACACACACACATAAACACACCCACGCACCACACATTACACACACAGCCAACACATACTTCACACACACCCCACGCTTATAGCATTTTGTCCTTACAAAGCTTCTTAACATTGCCCCCCCCCCTTTTTTCTTAACTCCACAAACATCCTGCATGTCCATTCATGAACTTAAACATTTACTGAAAATATACTGGATTCTTTAAATTGATTTACAAGAGCGTGGCTTTTGAATGATCAACTATGATGAAGGTCCTATTCTTTTTTTGAACTACCTCAATTACTTCAAGGCAGATACATCACTGTTGACTCATTGAGGGACTAATGATGTTATGTAGAAGTATTAATAATTTTATTTTTAAAAAAGCGTGCATTCTACTTCTTCCTTTTTAATGCCATCATGAGATTGTAAAAAATGTAAAATTTAAAGGAACGAACCAAATACAAGGATCGCCTGAGGATGTAGAGAGACATGGACAAAAAAGGTCCTGCCAAAATAATTGCTATTGACCTTGACCTAACAAGGATTTTTATCTTCGAAATTCATTTTAAAAAGAAAGTAATGAAATGAAGGCTTTATGTGCTGTATTTGACATAGCTGTGCGTTTCCCGCTTGTTGGGCGATCTTAACGAGAAGGCAGGGGATCTCATACTGAAGTACCCGTGATGCACCGGGGTACCCCCCGAGAGGAATTATGGCTTACACAGTAATGTGACCAATTTAAAAAAAATACTTGTATAAATTTGGCTAAGACTTAATTATATCGTGGCTGTTTTGAGCCAATTCTTTAAAAATAAGAAAATATAATATTTTTTCATTATCTATAGCTTGTCTTACACTTATTCGTTAACAGTGTAACATTTAGGGAGGTGGGGAGGGAAAGAGTCCCCATAAAATTAATTCGTTTTAAAACATGACAATGGGTTCAAAAAAACGTGACATTTCTGAAAAAAATACCAGGAGCTCTCAAAATGTTATATTATGGCCCAAGACTGGATCGTAAATCAACGAAGGCGGCGACCCATGCTATTTCAGTGTTCAAGCGACAGGGTAAAGAACTTTTTTTTGAATTGTAGTTTTTTTTTTTTATTTAATAGGCAGAAAAAAATAGAATTCTTAAAAACAATGGAATTAAGTCGGTGAAGATTTAATTAATTAATTAACTCACCCTTCCAATACTGTCATCTTTCAAAGGGAGTTGGTTACGGTACTCTTGGCCTTAGTGACACCTAGGACTAGGAATGTTCGAAACAGCTACCCTACCTTGAAACAAGCGATTCAATGGGTTTTATTGTTGTTGATCTTCACCGTCAGTGCCAATGCTGGGATGCAACCTACAGACTTCACATTAAATCCATCGAGGGCAGCTGTATACATCACCCACATGAAGTTGGTAAAAAAAAATATATGTAGCAGTCTTTAATCTCAGTGTAATGTCTTTAATCTCAGTGTAATGTCTTTAGTCTCAGTGTAATGTCTTTAATCTAAGTGTAATATTTTACACCTACGTCGTACGAGAATTAAATTGAAATGTTTTTAGTTGTTAAACAAATCAATTATGATTAATATACTATAATCAAATGAATATTTGCTTACTAAAATAAATTTAGCCCACAGAAATTATTATTTTTAAACAAGGCATACAGTTCAGCGAGCAGTATGAGAAATGCCACACCGACAGACTTGTGGAGTTACGTAAATAATAGCTACTGTCATTTCCTAAAACTCAAAATTTGTATTTCACGTGTTCGTGTATTCGTTTAAAAAAAAATAAAAATAAACTATACTTATTAGTATTATAACTTAAGCTTAGTGACCTCTCTTGTAGCTTGAGATATGAAACACAAAGGTGTCTCCGACTCTTTAATTCTAGAAATTGTATCGTTTACCTGACATCGGACTCGTCGTCATGGAGATTGGGGGTGGGTGGGGAAGGGGGGGAGGGTTGTAACTTTCGTTTCTTTAATCCCCAGCCCTCATCTCAATTAAAGTCCCCATTTTTCCTTCCATCAACGTTATTTTCCTCAAGCAATCTTCCCCCTATCTTAGAATTATTTGCTTCCGTTCCAGTTTCTTCGACAAGCATTTAGCAAAAAATAATGAGCTCCAGCCTCTTGAAGAAATGGGGTTAAAAAAAAAAAATTATGGTGGCTTGAATCCCTCCTCTAATTTCTCTATAATCTGGTCCATCTCGCAGCGAGACAAGGATGGCTACATGCTCAAGTGACGGCTCCTTTTTGCTGACAACTCTCGCGATTTCACAAAAAAGACCGGTTAAGTGGGAACGACTGGATTGCACGTGCAGATTGGATGGGAGGACAACGACGACCGACCTGGTCATGGTGGCGGTGTTCTCAATCTCAGGGGCGCTTCAAACACATTCAACAAATATTTAGTTTGAAAGAAAAATAAAGAAAAAAAAGAAAAAAAGGGGGGGGGGTAAATTTGACTATATGTGTATATATTTCATTTTAATAAATATAGATGTTTGGTACTTAATTAATTTTCAAAAAAAAAAAATATATAATTTTTGTTT